ACGGCTACAAAAGGCTACCTCTGGTATGTGCTACACCGTCCCGCACTTCTTCATACATGGCGTCCATTGAGCTGGCCCAGTCAACCAGATACAAGCAGGCGACCGTCTCGCGTGGATTTTTGTATAATTACTACTACACGCCCGCTCGCGACAACAAGCTAACAATCCTCTTCGTGCATGGCTACCCTTCTACCTCTGTCGATTGGGCCGGTGTAGTTGCCGTCCTGCAGCCCGAGGGCTATGGAGTTCTCGTCCCCGATATGCTTGGCTACGGAGGCACAGACAAACCTACTAACCCTGCGCTTTACGTTGCCAATTCAGGAATTGTTCGCGATCTGCTCGATCTTCTGGATGCGGAGAGTGTCAAACAGGCTGTGGCCATTGGTCATGACTGGTTCGTCGTTCTTTGATCGTTCTTGTACATTGTCCTCACGGTGAATTCACTGACAGGGGCTCGTTCTTCACCTCACGTCTTGCGAACTTGCACGCCGAACGCTTCCTCGGCTTCGCCTTCGTGACGATGGGATATACTGCTCCTTACCCCGACGTCAGCCTCGAAGAGAAGGTCAGGGAGGCATCAGAGAAGCTGGGATACAGCGTGTTCGGATATTTCCCGCTCTTGGGCTACCAGGAGAAGCTCATCGAGGAACACGTACGCCGCGACACAGCCATCCGTGTCGTCTGACCATACGTCTGATCCGATACAGATGGACTCGTTCATGGACTTCACCTTCTCTGAGGACGAGTGGGTTCTTCGCTATCACCTTTGCCCGCCAGGTGCTGGTCAAGCTTGGCTCGAAGCTGATACGCGCTGTGCGAGGTTGAGTAGTCCTGTTGCAACCCCGCAGGTAAGCTTTGGCTCTAGCTCACACGCATGGGCTGACTGAGGCCATGCATAGTGGTTTGCTACTCGGCAAAAGCTTCTAGCCAGTGGCATGACTCCTCCTGCTTGCTACTACAAGGTGCAATCGTCGGGTCTAGCGCAAGCTGACGAGAAAGGTAATTAACTTCGATTATACGTCTTGGTATGCTAATGCTTACCTCTCGTACACCAGCCGCTGCAGTCCCGCGGGAGGCGTACTACATCCTCAAACCGGTCTTTTTCGCCGCTTGCACTAAGGACGGTCCAACTCCGCCTGCGATCGGCGACGAGTCTCTCAAGGCGTATGTCAGAGGGCCTGTTACGCGCCGCGAGTACGATACTGGCCACTGGATCATGCTAACACACTACGAGCAGCTCGGGAAGGACTTGTCGGCGTGGTTGAAGGAGCTGCCTGGTTCGATTGAGGAGTAGTATACGGACATCTGGCTATATGCGGGTGATACTGATGTTGTCACCAATCCTATCCCTGGTATGAAGTCTGAACAGAAGAAGTGGGGGATGTATAATCTAGAAAGAGACGGCCCGCCGTTCGTACGCCAAGCTTACTTTTTGCGTCGCAGAATAAGGGACGGCAAACAAAGACAAATACATCATCGCGGATCGCGGATTAAAGCCGCACGGTCTTGCTCTCCCGTCATCATCGGCTTGTCGTGATTTGGCTCCGGGAAGTTTAATGCGACAGACACTACTAGCTGCACATAATAGAATGACTTACTTACCGGGAGTGGCCGTACATTTCGCCAGTCGAGCACACTCGGGCTCTTGGATCTGACCATCATCCGCTTGACCTCCGTCTCTATACCCCTTGGAACCAAGACTTTCTATCGTCAAATTGCTGGCTCTATAATCATGCCCCGACTCGGTCCCGCTCCGTTACGATCGCCTCGCGACCGGATATCCGACACGTATAAGAGCCCGCCTGCCACAAGATCGCCATTACAATACACTCGTCGTCCGTCTCAAGATGACATCCATTGTTCTAGACGCAACCAAGTACAAGAAGACTACCGTCTCCCGCGGCTTCTCGTACAACTACTATTACTCGCCCGCTCAAGAGAGGAAGCTCACGCTCTTGTTCGCCCATGGGTTTCCCTCGACCTCTGTCGACTGGGCAGGTGTGGTCTCTGTCTTAGAGCCTGAGGGTTACGGAGTCATTGTCCCGGATATGCTCGGATATGCCGGCACAGATAAACCTACCGATCCTGCTCACTACGTCGGCACCGGCATTGCTCGGGATCTCGTGGACCTACTCGATGTGGAAGGCATCGACAAGGCCGTAGCCATCGGCCATGACTGGTAAGTGAGAGTACGCCTCGACATGTTCCGATACACGTTAACACGACGACAGGGGCTCGCTGGCCGTCTCGCGTGTGGCGAACATGAGCTCAGAGCGCATTCTTGGCTTTGCCTTCCTGACCGTCGGATACATCGCTCCTTTCACTGCCAGCACCCTTCTGGAGATGTCCAAGGCGGTCGCTGAGAAACTCGGGTACAATCCTCTCGGATATATCCCATTCATGGCGGCTCATGAGAAGCTCATCGAGCAACATGTACGATTTTTCTCTGTTTCTACTTGATCGATCGTTTGAACGGGCTACAGATGGACTCCTTTATGGATATGATGTTCTCAGAGGATCCTGGGCTGCATCGCCAGATTTGCCCGGAAGGTGCCGCGCTGGCCTGGGTTGAGGCAGATAAGCGCTCCTTGAAACTGTCGAGTCCTGTCGCCACGCCCGAGGTCGGTGGCAACTTTATTGAACCAACGAGCGGCATGTTGCTGAACCGTACTCCCTATAGTGGACTGCGGCGCGCCATCAGCTCCTAGCTAGTGGGATGGCTGCTCCCACCTGCTGGTACAAAGTGCAGACCTCGACGCTTTCACAAACTGATAATAAGAGTATGGCTTTAACTTGTTTACTGTGCCTGTCTCGCTCACCGACCATAATCTTGCGCAGAGATCCCTCAGGAGGCGTACTTTATCAACAAGCCCGTGTTCTTCGGCGCATGTACGAAGGATGCTCCTTCTCCGCCTGTCGTCGGTGATCGAAGCTTGAAGATGTTCGCGAAAGGCTCCGTCACACGCCACGAGTACGATACGGGACATTGGGTCATGTTAACTCATTACGCGCAGCTTGGGAAAGATCTCTCGGCGTGGTTGAAGAGTCTCTGACAAGCTTGATGGCTTTCCCTCGACTGGAATGTCGGGTGCATGTGGTCTAGTATGTTCCTCGAATTTGCATGTCTTCGTTTCAAACGCATCCTACAATCTGTATCTTGACTTCCATCTCTGCTTTGTAGCATATACTGAACGCCACGAGCACAGTGCGAACAAGTGAACCTACAGTGGGTTCTTGGCACGGGCATCACTGCCGCGCGCGACTTCGATGCGCCGGAGACGCGAGAACTATCGCGCTACACGATTTGGTCGGGGATGATACAGCAGGTAAACGGCAGCTCGATGATCAACAGTGACATCTGGCATATTCACAGCGGCTCCCACTTACCATCGAACTACGCCCAGCGGCTCTACCTCGCGCACAATACGTCCAGACTCTTCCCGGAGACATATGTGCTCAGTTGCGAGACACCCGAGTAATCGGAACACAGAAGTTGTTTTCCTTCCATCTCTTCGGGCCATGCCTACTCCTTGATGCGCCCTCCACAGCCCTATCGGCAGGTTCCTGCTTCCCCCGGAGGTCCCCGTTCCGACGGTCGCACCGTTATACGCTTGCTTCGCCTCGAGCGACCAAGCTAAACAGAGTGTTTATAAGAGGCCGTCTACAGAACGATCGACTTCACCACCCGGCCCATCGCTCCGACCGCCATGTCCTCCATCGTCCTGCACAAGTACAAGAATACCACCGTGTCGCGCGGTTTCTCGTACAACTACTACGCTTCGCCAGCACAGGACGGCAAGCCTACGCTCCTGTTCGTCCATGGGTTTCCTTCTACCTCTGGCGACTGGGCTGGAGTGGTCTCCGTCCTAGAGCCTGAGGGTTATGGAATCATCGTCCCCGACATGCTTGGATATGCGCCGACAGACCGGCCTACCGATCCCGTGCAGTATGTGGGTTCGGGCATTACCCGCGACCTCGTCGATCTTCTGGACGCGGAGGGAGTTCAAAATGCTGTAGCCGTCGGCCATGACTGGTGCGGAGACTTCGTTGTCGTGCTACATGTAGCAGCTTAAACGTTATCATAGGGGATCTAACTCCGTCTCGCGCCTGGCCAACTTTTGCTCAGAGCGATTCGCAGCATTTGCTTTCATCACCGTCGGATATATCGCCCCTTATACTACCAGCGGCCTGCAAGAGCTCATGAAGGGCCTCTCAGAAAAGCTGGGTTATAATCTCCTGGGATATTTTCCGTTCATGGTCACACACGAAAAGCTAATGGAGCAACGTGTACGTCCTCAGGCTTGTCATACTCCCTATCGTGCGATATACAGAAACTGTTCAGGTGGATTCGTTCCTGGACATGATCTACTCCGACGACCCAGACAAGCACCGTCTTCATGGCTGCCCAGAAGGCGCCTTCCAGAAGTGGCTTGAAGCAGATACGCGCTGTCCGAGACTGAGTGGTCCTGTTGCGACACCTGAGGTACGTTGCAAGGTTGGTCTGGCGGTATACATGTATGACTGATGTCATATCTCAAGTGGGCTGCAGAGCGCCGCAGACTTGTGGCGAGCAGCATGGCAGCTCCTACCTGCTGGTACAAGGTGGACGTCTTGGGCCATGCCCAGTCTGATAATAAAAGTACGAATCCTGTCCGTACACCTTAGCACAGATGCTCACGTTCTGTATCCGAGTGCAGCAATTCCCCAAGAGGCATACTCCATCAGTAAATCCATATTTTGGGCTGGGTGTCGCCTCGACGGCCCAATGCCACCCGAGGTTGGGGACGAAAGCCTGAAGATGTTCGCAACAGGCTCCATAACGCGTCACATATACGATACAGGACACTGGGTCATCTTGACCCATTATGAGAAGCTTGGACAGGATCTCTTAGCGTGGTTAAAGAAGTTGCCTGAAGCCTAGCATATGCTCTAGGAACATATCGTCGTAGTTAGCAAAGACTAAACCTGATCTACTGGTGAAATATCTAAGACATTGTCAAGCCGCCTTGGCGTAGTGGTAGCGCGTCCCACTTGTATCCTTCGGGAACGCGATGGGAAGGTCACTAGTTCAATCCTGGTAGGTGGCATTAATTTTACCTTAATATTCGCTCGATATCGTCAGACATTCCAAGATGATCCTTCGCCTCCCCGGTTTCTGTAGCTGCAGGGGACTCACGCGCATCTCACTCAGCTTTATAGGTATTGCAAGGTAAGTGACGCTACGTGTAGAACTCCAACTACTCGAAGAAGTTTACGGTCGTCATTTCCCTAATCCTACCCCAAACACCCCAAGATGCCAAAGCATTGTCTACCAGCAGCTCTTCTATCGGAAGTCCTTCGCGTCGCCGTACTTCGATCAGATGCGCTAGCGAAAGGTCGACTCCGCCGTGGTGAATGTCGGCCTTTTCCATGTACTGGCTCCCTGGATGCACGACGATGATACGCAATTTGGGGAAGAGAGAAAAGGCATCGTCCTCCGTTTTGTCGACAAGAGCCGACAGGAGGTCAAGGCTATTGATATATGGAATTGCGATCCGTTCCACCTCCGAGTCGGCGTCAGAAAAGCAGTCGAGCCACTTCGCAGGCGTTCCGTAGAGGTGCATCACGTCCGATGAAAAGTAAACGGCTTGAAGCGTATCCATCGGTGGTGCTTCGACCAGGATTTCAGGCCCAAACCACGCCCATGCTCGAATATGCCTGCTCCCAGACTCTCCGTCGTATACGAGGTCCTTTCTGTATTGCGAAGTTATCGGTTGGTCATATTTATTGATTTGGCGTGGTTCGTCGGGCCATCTCCACGTCCATCCGGCTCGCGCTTGGGCCGTGTTGCGAAGGCTGAGGGTATTCTGCGAGAGATAGAGCTCGCGGGTCGGATGGGCAGGATCATTGGCGTTTAATAGCGGCTCGAGCAGGTGATGATATATTGACGACGGATGATCCGATAACCCATCAACAAAGGCCTCGCATATGATGACAGCATCGGCAGGCGCTTTGACACAGCGCCAGAGATTGGAATAATGCTCGTTAAATGCGTCCCAGTTGTCGCAGGTGCATTCGAATATCCGAAGAGTCGACGGTAGGGAAAGCGGGACATCCATTGCTCCCGGTTCATCGCGAGGGAACAGATTATGAAGATACAGTTCGATAAGGCTCTGCAGGGGTGACAGTATGCGTTTGAGCCTCGAACTCGATGGCAAGACCCTGGTCGACTCGTCCCTGAAAATATCTATGAAGACGCCTCCCATGCTTAATCGCAACTTCGTGAGGTTGGAGGTGAATAGCCGCGAATTCCATCTTGGAAAACAGGCAGTGAGAGAAAGAGACGTAAGCAAGGGTGGGACATCGCCCACAAAGAGGGTGTCCTCGAGGTGGTAGGCTTCGTCGCGGGGGCCCCTGGCCTCTAACTCTAACTCCTTCAGAGCAGGAGCAGTCGTTTTCAGTGCACACGTCCAAGTACGAAGCTCGTTATCCTGCGTCGCAATAACTAGTTTCTCCATGCGTTTTATGACAGGAGCACAGAGCCACCCGGGGCTTACGCCCATCGATGAGCTATACATGTCAAGCCACCCGCGGTCGTCGACATAGACTTTGAGTGGTAAGTTCCTGGAGCTGAGAAGGACTTTCGCCATGAGCTGAGGCATGATATCGAAGCAATGAAGTTGAGTCCAGAGCCGGGGGGTATCCAAAGCTGCCTGGCAGAATGTGTCCGTTAGCGGCTACGACAAGGCGCGCCAGGAGAAGCACTCACCTTCCTCCACGAGCTGGAGACATGCAGTATACTCATCCACCCCAACGCGTATCTGGGTCCGGCTTTCTCCGTCTTGGCCGTTTGCCATACTCGATGAGGTCGCCAGACTTCCTGCGCGTAGGCGAAAACGACCGCCAGGACCTCTGGAGGTAAACAACCGCACGAGGTAGCGGCATTTCGGCACCGCTTGGCAACGACCGCGAAAGCGCGCAAGGACTCTAGCTCGAGCTCGGCCATCCGCAAACGAGCAGTTCTTTCGGACGTGCGACCATGCGTATCGAAGCGGGTTGCTATGAAAGATGACCAAGCATTTCTATGTCGGATATCAGCTTCGCTATCGCATTCACCGGACAGCGCTTACCGTGATGCATAACTGTATGCAGCTTCGTCGAGCCCTTTAGTAGTTGCCATGGACGCCAAAGGCAAGCCGCAACGACGCGAGAACGTGACGGAAAACCGTCGCGTCTGGCGGAATTGGCGAATTGTGGATCCGGAAGTGCCACCAGACCCCCATATGCGCATTATATGCACGATCATACATATGACACTGCTCTGTGCGTGGCTGGCTATACATGGTCTTGACGTACACGCCAGCCGCCTGCCAGCAAGCGCTCTAGGTATGTTGATGTTCGCACGGCACTATCTGAACGGTTCAATAAATACGATCTATAATATATGTACTGTCCTAAAGACTAAGGTTATGACAATCAAAAAAGTGTACGGGCGCGCTTTCTCTAATCCTGGCCCAGATATCCCACGACGCCATGGCCCCATCTACCAGCAATTCCCGTATGAGCGCGCCTCCGGTTTGGCGTGCTTCGATGAGTTGCGCCAGCGATAGATCAATTGCGGCGTGGTATGCGCTTGAATTCTCTGCGTACTGGCTGCCCGGATGTATAACCACCACCTGCAAGCGAGGGAAGAGAGAGAATTGGTCGCCGTCCGCTTGAAGAGCCAGAGCCGATAGGAGATCGAGACTGTTCAGGTAAGGGATTGCGATTCGTTCCATATAGCAAGCACGGGTAAAAGTGTCCAGCCATTTGGCAGGAGTATCGTAGTGGTGCATCACATCTGAGGAAAAGTGGACGGCTTGGAGAGTCTCCAGCGGCAGTTGATCAAGGATGTCGGGCATGGGCGTCCAAGCGATAACATGCCTACTACCGACTTCTCGAGCGTATAGCAGGTTGGCCCTGTCCACTGATCTTGCTCCGGGCCTCCGGGGTTCGTCTGGCCATCTCCACGTCCATCCAGATCGTGCTTGTATCGAGTAGTAAAGGCTGACCGTAGATGTCGAAAGGCACAATTCGCGGACCGGGTGGGCAGTGTTATCGACGTCCAATAATGGCATGAACAAATCTCCAGCAATGCCATCCAGGAGTTCCTCGAACTCGTCTATCAAGACTTCGAAGATGACTGTAGCGCCATGAGGTACCTTGACACAACTCCAAAGGTTATGATGATACTCGTTGAAGGCGGTCCAGTCATCGCTGGTGCATTCAAACGTCTTCAGAGTAACTGGGAGGGCTAACGGGGGCTCAGCCTGGTTGTCGTCCGTGGGGAAAAAGTTGTGCAGGTAAAGTTCGGTAAGAGATGTCATGGGTGACAGCATGCGCTTGAACTGTGACATTGTCGGAAGCTCCACGTCGACTTCGTCGAGTCGAACGTGATGTAGAGATAGTCGGAGTTTTGTGAGGTTGGACGAGAGAAGGGGCGAATCCCACACAAGAATGCAGCCCGTGAGAGATAGCATTGTGAGCATGGGGAGTCCTTCGCCGCCGAAGATTGTGTCCTCGAGACGCCACGGCGCGGGATTCCAACCGAAGACTTCTACTTCCAGCTCCTTCAGGGCAGGGGCTGGCGTATGCAGCGCACGGATCCATGAATCGAAGGCCCCTTCCTTCATCGCAATGACTAGCTTCTCTGCGCGTCTGATAACCGGCGCGCATAACCAGCCGTGAGCAACTGCTGGTGATACGCTGTGCCTCGCGCTATAAAGGACAGGAGAGTCGCAGACACGGGCTTGTAGAGGCATGCTTCTTGAGCTAAGGAGCGTTCTTGTCATGAGCTGCGGGTGGATATCCAGACATTCAAGTTTGGTCCAAAGCTGAGGGCTGTTCAAAGCTGTCTAGTACCGGGAAGACAAATTAGTCACCGTAGGAACGAGGATACACGAATGGCTTTCGACTGACCTCCCTCCATGAGCTGGAAACATGTAGAACAGTCATCCATCCCGTCACGTATCTGACTTTGTTCTTTTTGTCGTTATAATCTGGCAAAACGCGCTTGGGCTTCCACGTCTCCTGCGCGAGTGCGAAGATGACCGCCAAAATCTCCGAAGGTAAACTGCCGCACGCAGTGACAGCATTGCGACGCTGTTTAGCGATGGCCGTAGATGTGCGCAAGTACTCTAGCTCAAGCTCGGCCATGCGCAAGCGGGTGGCCCTCCCAAGCGAACCGGATGAACGACCATGCTCATCGAAGCGGGCTGCTATGAATGACGTCCAGACACCTCTACAGTAGTGATTCAGCCGTGAGATATGGCATCGTGCTCAGATAGACGACCTCACTGAGATGCACGATTGTAGGCGAGTTCGTCGAGTTCCTCAACTGACGACATGGAAGTTGAAGGCAAGCCGCGACTCGCGATTCCGCGGGAACATATCTGCCATGCGTCCATGCGCATAAGATCTAGAAAAGCGCGCAGCTCTTCAATTGCCACTCGGGCTTCACAGCACAGTGAGCGAAAGGCAACGCATTGTGCTGCTCAATGCAACTGGGAGTACTGCACGCAGTGCGTAAATAGAAGTACTTGAGCGGAGTAAAGTACAATGGTGGTGAATCAGATTAAGGGCAGTATATCTATGGTACAGCGTACAATCTCTCGAAACGTGACAGTCATCCATACAAAGCTTTCAGTGCAAGATCGTGAATAAAGACAGGCATGTAACCGAAACCCGCGCCTCGCGGAAACGAGCGCCGCAATCATACAACATATTGAACCTTCCGCTCTCGCTCGCGAACTTGACCCTCCCAGCTCCCAGTAGGCGTCGACTCCTTGTTGAGCACGTACAAGTCGGGGGTATGCGGCGTGTCAGGACTATCGGCAGAGATGGAGAGTGTGGTATCTGTCGCGCCGCGACCACTTGCAAACGCGGGCGCGCTGATTGCCTGTGTGTCTCGTTCAGACTTGCGAGCGTCGGCGTCAAACGCCATCGTGCTGAGTGTCTCGCGCGCCAAAGTCGTCGTCTTCCATGCCTTTCCGTCAGCAAGACGGTAGATGATCAGGTACGTCGAGATTTGCTATGAGAGAAGACCAAAGTCAGCCTCTTAGCCGTGCCA